CTATTGGTAATTTCTGGGTGTGCGGAAATTCATCACAGATGTGTGCTAAAAATGCAATTGCCGCTGCTCATCGTATCCTCCCACTCAAACATCCCAGAGTAGAATAACTTTAATTCCAAGCAATTAAATTGATACATGCTTTTGTCCTTTTCACTTTTAGGTGTCCCAAAAGGTGTGGTAATTTCCAATCGAATGATGTTGGCAAGCTTAAACAACAACATCCTCAATTGTGGTAGGGATGTAAGTCGTTGCTCATCTCCGTCCTTAGATGTGCCTTCAAGATGTGAAAGTGCCTTTGTTTCTTTTTATCACTGTCTTTGTCGTTTTTAGCTTTTGGGGCAAGACAAGTTCCTATCTAGTTGTTCAAACATTCAATCGGTTGGGTGCCTGGCTCAATTTTGTCCCTACGATTATTTCGAAGAAAAGTGGCGACCCTTGCAAATGTGTTACTGCCAACTAAATTAGGGGTATTCATGAAGAACCTGCCGAAAGCTTATGACTTTAATCAGATTTAGGCAATAACACCGTCTTGCTTTGGGCAGAATTTCTGTGCCCCATTTTTTGCTTATTTCGTAAATATTGCTCTACGCCATGATTGGTTGGTGTGTCTTTAATTGCGGAGCAGGAAGTGTGTGTATTTTTAGTGTGTCCTTTTCAAAAGTACCCTTCCACTTTATTTCATTTCGCCGTGTCACTTTGAGAATAACAGCATATCGATAAATCTGCTGTTATAACACTGTCACATTGGCTGTGCTTCTAGGCTTATTGCTTTGCTTTGATGATTTCAAGATTTACTAACTCATTTTCCCCTCCCATTGGGGCTTTGGCTGCCTCTTAACGATATTATGTACTGTTACTCGTCAACAACTCGTATGTTTATCGAATCTTGGGGTTCACTTTTGATGGAGTAACTCACTAGTTTGCTTGTGCTCTCTTTCAGATTATAACGGAAGATGGTGTCTATCTATCTTACCTTCCTATGGCTCACATATTAGAACAAATGTTTATCGTAAGTTGATTTGTTGTCGTATTTCATTGTATTACGAGATCTGGCTGCTATCATCCAGGTTTTGGCGTCGACCCCTTTGCCCCTCTACTTTGTTTGGCTTTCAATTGTTTTACCCTGTGTTATTGTTCATTCATACAAACAATTAACCGCCATTCGCTTCTCAAGTTAAATACACAGGTATTCAAATTCATATGTTGCAGAACTCCCCACTGTTTTGTGCCACGTATTTGTGTGTATAGAACCCGTTCTTCTGTTATCGTGTGTTTGTGGGCAGAAATCAGGTGCCACGTGTTATCAGCATTATTAGCCTAGTAGTGGTTCAAATAGGGGCTCGTTTCTTTCCAACCCTGCAGTGCGGAGTCAAGTTTGATATCGAAGGGTCTAATTTTTTCTTCTCGGTTTCTTCTACAGCTGCTTACGATCTTCAATCGAGGCAGAATTGGATTTTATTCGGGCGAACCTCGTCTTCTGTTTGAAGACGCCAAGCAATTAAAGCCCACACTTTGGACTACCGTTCCACGAATCCTACTGCGAATATATGAAGGCGTTCAAAAGAAGATTGGCAATTCCGAAATAAAGAAGCGCCTCTTCGCTAAAGCCGTGGCGTCAAAGATTCAGGCTGTGGACGCGTATGTTGCTTGATGCATGTGGTGCAGTGGGATTAGGACGTTAGCTTTGGTTTATTTAAAGTCTTATCTGTAGATGCAACTTTTCCACGAGCACGATTTGGGATATCCTATTTTTCTCCAAAATTCGCGCCCTTCTCGGTGGCCACGTTCAGGTTATTGTTTGCGGTGGAGCTCCACTCCCTACTCACATCCTTCGCTTCGCGCGTGCTGCTTTCTCATGTTGGGTTTGTGCAAATCTAATGCTTCGTGCTTTTGTTTATTCTTCTGGTATTTTGGTAGCTTTGTCTTATAGTCACCCCCATCTAGTCCGCCTAGACTGTTGCTAGTTTTCCTTCTTTTCTTGGACATTGTTGTTAGTCACCCCTTTCACCCTTAATTGAGCGCGTGTATGCATTTCCTTTTGCAAAGGATGAAGTCGTTCTTCCGCTGGATGGAGCGATCTAATGTTTTACTGTTAAAGGTCATGGGGACT